GCAGCGATACTAAAATTCTAATTTATCAGTATATAGTAAAGCAAATGAAGTATGTTTCATTTTTTCCCCCTCTGAGTTCTTGGTTTGATAGCATGACTTAAAATGAGGAAACTCCTGAGCTTTGAAGACATTTTCTCCTTTTAAGCGCTAATAATACAATCTCAGTATTATCCAGACCCAGTGGGAATCATGTTTATATCAAAAAAGGCAAATATTTCTCTAACTCCTTTTCTGAGTGATGGATAAATCCTGGCTGTGTAAAATTATAGCCACGAGTAGTAAGTGACACTTGGGGCAAAGCTCTATTACAAAGGAGAATACTGGCCGTCCTCATAAATATACCTGGTTTACTGGAGAATTTGCTGAGAGAACTCCGAGCACAATGCCCCCGGTTGTGCTTTCCAGATAGCAAAGGAAATATACTCATCTCTATTGTGAGCCTATAGCTGCTCTGTTCTCATTTGATCCTTAATTACTAGTCAAACATAGAATGAAACAATGTAAGAAACATCGAGTATGCACTTAAAAGTTTAATTTTTGCATTCATTACACAGCAGACATGAGGGGAACATTTCCATATTTTTTGGCAATGAGCAGCATTTGTGGTTATGTCCCTTAGCAGTGTCTCACCAAATGCAATCTTTGATACTTCCTGTGAGTGACACTACTAGCAGCCAAATATGAGACTTCTCATCTCTGCATTCTTATAGGTCTACAGTTTTAACATAGGCTCATGTTGGCTTGATCTCTAGCACTTTTTGTATGTGAAGAGGTAAGGAGCCCTAGGGTATTTCCTAGAGGGTCTGACTTGGTGATAGACAATCTAAGGTTTATTTAAGAGGAGACTGGAGAGAAGGGGGGGAAAAAAAAGGTGTAGGTCAGCTTTACTTCCCAGCCTACAGACATTTTTTTCTTATCACTTAGCCTAATATTCTGTGAAGTATTCAAACTGATTATGCCCTAAATATACTACTCCATTCACCTGAAGTTTTGGCCCAAAGTAAGTAGCATGTTTTGAAAATGTGACAAAATTTTGCTTACTCTGAGTTGAAGGTTTATCTGAACTACTTTTAGATTGAAATCAGGAGTAGAGTTTTATGGGGGACCAGAGGACAACCCTCTACATTGGTGATGTGAGAAGGTAGTTAGGACAACTAAAGTATGTAGTTGTCTAGCATAGTATTACTCAGAGGAAAGTCCTACCAGTGAAATTCCATAAATAAAACACTGCAGTGAGTGAAAACTCATTCCAATCAAGAGTAATGCATTTGGCACCCTCAGGAGTTGCATGCTGGAGTGCCAAACTGCCAGAATATCAATTGAGTGTATATGTGTGGGTCTGAATAGAATGGAGAGGATCCAGAAACAATTAAGCCACTGTGTTGTTGATTAGTATCAAACTACTGTAGCTTTATGGTAAGATTTTAAATCAGAATACGATGTTCATCTTAAGAGAATATTTGCATTTCCATATGTATTTTTGAATTAGCTTGTTTACTTCTACAAAGATGGTTGGTATTATTTGGAAATACATTAAATGTCCAGATGAATTTAGAAAATTGCACTTCACGAATATGGGATAGCTTTCCATTAATTTAGATATTTTCTCAGTCAAGTTTTGAGTAAACAGACTATGTAATCTTAGGTTTATTTTTAGGCATTGTTTTCCTAATTGTATATTAATCTTCTATCCTGCAACCTTGTTAGATACCAAATTCAGAGCTTTTCTAAAAAAAAATCTGCAAATGGATAGTTTTAGTACTTTTCTGGTATCTGAAATCAGACATCAAAGAATAGGATATCCAGAACAGTTTTGTATAGAAGTGGTACAAGCAGGAATCTTTGCCTTGATCTCAAGGGGAAAATAACTTAATTTGCTAACATATTTACTAATAAAGGACTAAGGTTTTGTATATGCCCCTTGTCAGGCAGAAGAAGTTATTTTTATGTTGTGCCAAGGATTGCGCCTCGCACGTGATAGGCTAGTGCTCTACCGCTGAGCCACAATCCATAAAGTTATTTAATCTTTGCTTTTTACCATTCTCTTCAATAATTTTTCCACTATAGTGTAGTAATTAACATCGGTTACTTTTCAAATGATAAACCAACCTTTTGTTAGGAAAATAACAGTGGTGACCAACTAGGATTTATTTTTATGTCTTGATTTATTTAGAAAAAAATTTTTAGTTGGACAGAATGTCTTTATGTGGTGCTAAGGATAGAACCCATTGTCTCTCTTATGCTAGGCAAATGCACTAAAACTGAGCTTCAGCCCCTATTAGAGTTCTGTAGAGATCCCTCTATATTTTTTCATATATATAGTTGTAGATGGACACAATGTCTTTATTCTGGGAAGAAAGACATGGTTTCTATTGGAGTTTTAATCACTGGTACTGGTACTACTGCCTTAAATTACGCTGTACCTAGAACCTACCTTCAGGGGAAAGCTGCTAGAGGAGAGGCTGCAAAGGGACAGAAAACTCAGTCCCATGTAGTTGCCTTTGAAAGTTCCTACTGCACTCCAGACTCTTCAAAGTAATACAGGTAGAGTCTTGAGTTATTTTTCGTAGTTCAACTGGCGGTTTTAGGTGTGATCAACAGAAGTACAGAATGAGTTTACATTGCCAAGTCAGAATAGAAGCTGTGGAATGTAAATTTTGAAGACATGCTGAACTTAAGAAATATGTGATACTGCTTGTCCTCTTCAAAACAAATATATAATACTAATTGAGTTAGATTCCCTGAGTCAAATACATCCAGAACTTCTGAACAATTCTCCAGCCATTCCCTTTATTAATGATAGATTTAATGTATAATAATTCTGTTATAGAAATACGGAATAGTTTCTCTGAGGTTGAAGGGTAAAGAGAGGAGTCCATAAATCGAACTTAAAGAAATAATGTACATCCTAATTTGAAATTGGTCTACAAACATTACCTTTATGGATCCCTCTTTATGAAAAATCTCCATACCTAAGATAAATGAACTCAGTCTCAACAGAGATAAGGCCTTATGACTTTTATTCATTGACAGAGAATAATGTAGAAACTTAGTAAAAGTTTTACAAAATGAAATCCTTAACATGCAACTATTATTCCATCTTTGGAAGCATGTTTTTTGCATATGTACTTTTTGTAGTCCTGAGTTTTCAGGTGCTGGCCACATTTCCTTTGTAAGCAAAACACTCTTAAAGACTTTCTGTGAAGTGATTTGTGTATACTGTTTCAGAACCTCTTAACAGTAGCAGCAATACATAGGATATCCTGAGCCACATGTTATATGCTGGTACTTTACAAACATTGTTGCACTGAACCCTGCTAGATTATATTTTTTAGATAAGTAAAATGAAGCTAGGACCACCATACTCTCCCCTATGCCTTCTCGCTGCTCCTTTATTTAACCCTTCTCCAAGGCATGCCATGCCTTAGGGCCTAGTCCTTGAATGGTGCCCGTTCTCCCTCTATGTTCTAGGTGAAAACATTTTCCAGTTCCATCAATTCAAACACCACCAAAAAGCCACAACTATTGACCTCCAACTCCACTGGGAAATGAGATATCTCAATGTGTCCAAAACCAGATCCACCTCTACACTGTTTTGTTAACTGCATGTAATAAAATACATACTAAAACCAAAAAGGGAGAAAAAAATTAAGAAATGAAGACCACTTGAATTACATAAAAACTTCTCATGTTAAAGTACTAAATCCAAGATCAAAAGTATGCACTTCAGGACATGTCTGACAACTCATTAACATTGGAACAGCAGCAAGAAATTAGGGGTCTAGGTTAAAGTTTCTTCTTTGTTCAAATTCAGGTTCAAAGAAGGGAGAATGGTGCTGCTACTTTCTGGAATTCAAGACAATCCATGTTTAACATTGTGGACACACCTACCTGTGGGGAAGGCTGGGAAGCATAGCATTTTAAAGCTGCAGGGCAAAATATTCAGCTAAAACGGAACTTCTGTATTAAAGTCAAAGCCCACTGACTCAAAGTCCATTTCTGCCTCTACCACACTCCTTGAATCTGATCCCACTGCTCCTTACTAGCCTATTTAAACCTCTTTCCCCTTAACACTCAGCACTATGACACTTTTTTTTCTTTGTAAACATATGTGGGAGAGAATATATATATTCACACATACATAGATTTGATTATTGACTATCCTCCTTACTAGAATGAGACACAGCACTTGGTTCACTGCCATATTCCCTCTGAAGAAAGAACATAAGTGAACAGGAGCCAGCTATGCAAATGGGTAGAGGAAATTTCAGGCAAAGGAAGAGCTAAGTGAGAAGGACCCATAGGAAGTAGAAACAAATATTCTGAGTTTAGGGAATTTGTCCTAGGTTTGGAGACCAAAGATAGTAGTAGGACTGGAATGTATAGTAAATGAAAAAAGTTGAATAGGAGAGCACCAAGAACAGCTCATCAAGAAGGGTTTGCCTGTCCCAGACACAGTAGTGTTATCAGCCTCTCTGGCACCTCGGTCATGTCCAGCCTTTGGAAACTCCAGAGATGGTATATTGAGGGCTACACAATAGCTATTAGCCACATGCTTCCATTTAAATTTAATACATGAAAAGTATATAAAATGAAGAATTCAGTCACGTGAGCCACATTGCAAGTGTTTAGTGGCCACACATGGCTGTTGTCTCCATCACAGCAAGTTCTATTGGACAGTGAAGCCAGTCCAAGGAGACACAATGGTAGATTTACTTAGCCTTTCTGATTTTTCCCTTAACCTCAGAATCATGCTTTTCTATTTAAATGGAAATATGTGATGCATAGAAAGCTAGCATGTGGCCTGTTCCTTATGCAAATATTGTGGATGATATTTTACCTATGACAGAAAACTTGGGAAGGACTGGTAAATCACAAGCTTTCTTAACCTCATTATAAATACATTGCAAATGTAAAAATGCAAAGTCTGGAAGTCATAAATGTGAAAGCTTCTTTCAATTTGTTTTAATAGGTGTTTTCTGTGTCTTATTATAATATAGGGACCTTGCTGCAAGAAACTGCCTCGTAGGTGAAAATAACATTCTAAAAATCAGTGACTTTGGAATGTCTCGTCAAGAGGATGGTGGGGTATATTCATCTTCTGGCTTAAAGCAGATTCCCATTAAATGGACAGCACCAGAAGCTCTTAATTATGGTAAGAATAGACGTTTTTTACTTTTTGGTGGTAAAAATGGACTATCAGCACAAAACATTTACAGGTAATTATACAGGAGTATATAGCAAAATCCAAGTTGAGAACCAGCCCAATGTATAACTGTTCAGACCTTGCACTTCCACACGAGCACAAACTTAATTGAAATTATTGATCGGATTTCTAGATTAAAGATTGAGACATAAGTGCTTATATTCTTTTTGATCTACCAAACAATTGAAACAGATTATACATAGAATAAAAGTGTTGTGGTAGCTCTGGGCCATTTATTTGAATGTTTTTAATTGGTCCAATAACTTCATGTACTGTTAAAATATTATGTCAGTCAATCCTTTAGTTTCTCTGGAACTTACATAAATCCTGAGGACAAAGATTGGAATTAAAATAGTGATTTTTTTTTCACTTGAATTTTAATGTGTCATTGTAATTAGAAAGTTTGTATTCTGGTTAGAATGAAATGGGGTAACAACTCATGAATTTAGCAAAAGAAAAAACTGTGCTTTAAGTGAAATTAGAAGTTACATTTTTGGGGGCTGGGGATGTAGCTCAAGTGGTAGTGCACTCACCTGGCATGCGTGCAGCCCGGGTTCCATCCTCAGCACTACATACAAAGATGTTGTGTCCACCGAAAACTAAAAAATAAATATTAAAATTCTCTTTGAAAATGTAACTTTTTTTTATTTAGGGAAGTAATGTCTAAAACAATGGATATAATGTCTTGAATTAGTAACCTTCCATTTTCAATCAGCAAATCATGATAAATTATGAAAATAATTTTTAATGCCTAGATTAAGCGGATAAAGGTTTTTAATAGGTGACATTCACAAAATTAAAGTGAAAAATTTAGTAGCATTTAATATAATTCAGTGTTGGGAAACCACTTTGTCTAGTTTCAAAACATTTTCTTCATTTCAAGATCATGTACCTATTTCCTCCCTCTCCTGTTACCTTTCTAGATATTTGAAATGAATAGAATCAATGTGACCGTCTGTATCCTGTTTTCATTTACTATAATCCTTTTAAGGTTCATTCATCAGTACTTTTTCCAACATATTTCATTCTGTGTATATACCACAGTTTATTCATGCATTTGTGTATATTGGGCAGTTTTCGTTTTTTGGCTATTGTAAATAGGTCTGTACATATCCAGTTATTCTGAGTACGTACTAGTGTGATCTGGAAAACGTATGGTAATTCCTCGAGCAGTGAAAACTTTTGAATGTATACTGGCTGGGCTTAATCCAGATACCAGTCCTCACCCTTGGTTCGTCTTTCATTTTGAGAGCAAATAAGATTTCTGTGACCTTTTTAGTAATTGCAAGCCAATCCACTATTCCTCAGCACCCAGGGAAATGGCAGCCCTGCTAGTTTCCACAGTGGTTTTTGTCTTGGATGGTGGGGTTATATCACTAAAGTGAAGAATCACAGGGTAAAAGATTGTAATATTTTGCCCCCTAAAGATTTATCACTAAAACCAAGCCCTGGTTGCCAGATAATCTATATTACACAACCTTTTAAAAGTCCTCTTACTAGTACATGATTATGCCTCTTGATCACTGTATTTTAGGTGAATTGTAACTTAAGGAGGAGTACAAAGTTCTTGGATTTTTTTTGGCAGTCTCCATATTTAGATGAGGAAGGAGTTTGTAGTATGTAATCCCATGGGGAAATTCCTGAGTCTTTAAGCCTCAGGCAGTCCTGGGAAATTGTGTTCTCAGATGTAGAATTACTGAAGATTGGCTCTAAATCCTTACTTTCAGAAGATTCTTTTAAAAGTCCTTGGTACATTTTTCTACTTGGTAAGGTTTCCCTACAGTCTGGCCTCAGTGATGAAACACTAACCCCACACTTCATTGGAGATATGGGCAGAGTACATGAAAAGAAACCTTTCAAAAGGGTAGGCTTAAGGTGTAGAATTAAACTAGTTTTTACTATTTTGTTATCTGCTTTAACGTGCAGTGTAAGCCCTTCTCCTACCCTTATCTCTAGCTACATAATTTCCCAGGCAAACGTACCTATCATATTTTCATCTTGTTCTCAAAGATTTCTTTGGCTTTGATTTGTGAATCTTACCCAGCAATTTTTTTAAGTTGGAGGTGGACACAATACCTTTATTTTATGTGCTGAGGTTCGAACCCAGGGCCTCACTCAAAGAGTGCTTTATCGCTGAGCCCACCCCCAGCAATTTTTTAAAATGCAGAAATTGTAACATGCTTGGACTGTGGGGCATTTATCACTACCATCCATAGTCACAAGATACTGTGGGCAAAGAGGATACTGATCTCCAAAGAAGAAATAAAATCATGTATCAATTATTGAAGTCTCCCACTTGTCACCTGGTTATTTGGGGCTGATGTATCCTCCTCTAATTTGATTAATGTGATTTAACTCCAAAAGGCAGAGTTTTGAATGGAGAGTCCTGGATCTGTTACATCATTGACTGCATGATCTTGGCAAGCCTTCTACTACTCTGCATCTGTTTCCTACTTTGCAAGATGAAAATAATACCCTTTCTCTACAAGCATATTGTGAGAATTAAGAGATAGAAAAGCATAAAGATACAACTAACTTGCTCTTATCCTTAAAATTATCCAGCAATACCAAGTTCAAAATCCAAAACTAGGTTGAACGTTTCCACTTCTGGAGTATGATCTTAGTTTACCTAAAATATGCCTTTCTTGATACCCATCCATATATTTTACAAAATAAGATACTTTCATGAAAAACTATTGGATCATCATAATAGTTGATTTGCAGATAAGAAAACTAACTATGCTGTTGGGTAGCAAGATTTATGTCCATAATTACCATCTACCAAGAGGAAAGCTGAAATAACATAGCCTGAACCTTTACTCAGTCCTCTCAAAACAGATCAGTTAACACAGTGCAGGCAGACACTCCTTTACTTCAAGAATATTCTTTATAGTAATGGTTTTAGAGGAGGGACAGAAACTGAAATCATTTAAGAAACCTTCTACATGTAATTGTGATAGTATGTGCCCTATACATAAAATTAAATATCTTGGGACAGTCTTGCAAAGGACCTTTCTGTTACCCTTCTTTGATTTCACATCCATCTTGTGTTGATTTATCTGTATTTCCTGAAAGCTACCACATATATTCTAAGAGCTTATCTTGGTGCACCTGTTTTACTGAGCTATTTTGATGAAACAAGGCACCATGTAATTTAAAGAAGTTGTTTTTATCAGTCAGCTATGTTAATTTCCACTCTTCAAAACAGTTTGATTTACAGAAAATATATTTTTCTATCAGCAGAGAAATGAGACCTTTAAGTACGTAAGAATATCTGTAAACAGTGATGAGTAAAAAATTGAAATTAAGAAAGTTTTCTTATTGCTTTAGGTTTGTTTGCAATTTTAGTAGAAAGAAAATGATGCAGAAGACAAAATTGCAGGAATCCAACTTATTTAATCTCCTAGGCACTGATGTGTATACATTTACATGTTTTTATATAAACCACCTCACTCATGACACTCCAGGAAAGTAAGCCTGCATGCTGGCTGAAACTTGCTCTTGGTGGGGAGAAGAGGGAGCAAGTGATTATTTGACATAACTAGTCCTGAAGTATAAAAAAAAAAAGTGAAAAGAATAGAAGCACTAGCTCTGGAGGTCCTTTGGTGAGTTCAGTTGTTATGTGACTGACATACATAACCAGAACCTGTCACCTCCTTGTCCCTGTGCCTCACCTGGTTATGGTTTGTTGTTCCTCTCCCAGGAAGATACAGTTCTGAGAGTGATGTATGGAGCTTTGGCATCCTGCTCTGGGAGACCTTCAGCTTAGGGATCTCTCCTTACCCTGGAATGACAAATCAACAAGCACGAGAGCAAGTGGAAAGAGGTGAGCCAGAGACCCAGAAGGGAAGAGTTCAAATCCAGCCTTGGGGGCTGCAGTGCCAATGGTGTTTCTCCTGGCCAGATTGCTGGCAAAGAGGGTATTATGCTATTTAGGTATGTAAGCAGAGAAAACGTAGTACACAATTCTGCTTTTGAATCCCATGGCTTTTATATAACGAAACCAACACTTTGAAGTATTTTGATACTTTAAAAGTAGAAAACTACAAGCTGTTTCTCTACCCCTTCTCTGCTTGGCATGAAGTTGCAGTGCCGTACCATTCAATGTCTTCCGTGAAAACAGGTTACTATTCCCAGCCTATTATTTTTTATTCCATACCAAATAAATCTCTCCTTAAAAATATTACAAAGTACAATGCTGTCTGTCTTCAAGAAGTGGAGAATTTTATAACACTTCTGAAGAAATCCTGGGGCGGGGTTCCAGACCAGAGCTATAGCATCACCAAAAACTAGTTATTCCCAGCAGGCATTACTATCATCCACAGCTTCCTCAAAGAGATGTTGCTGAGATGCAGTAATGTACCCTGGCCTGAGGCTGCCCAGGGGACAGGGCTGAGAACCTCCCTCTCTCACACTGGTAGAGTCACACATACGAGCAACACTTCCAGACAGCAGCTTATGACTCATTCATTTTTCCTTCACTGTTAGTGTTTAAAAGCTCATCTCTGCAACCTAGGATTTCGAAGATGAATTAGAAACTCTGCCCCTAGCATTTAATTCTAGCAACTAATATACATTTGTAGTATATCTTCCTGACCATGTTTTTTGAACTAAGTGTTAATGGCTGTGTAATACTGATTTCTCTATGGCCCATGAGGAGGGAGAATGTACTCTGAAATGGATTTTTTGTTTCTATTATAATACCTACAACATAAGGTACTAAAATTTACAAAATGCATATACCCTGTGTGAGCATTCATTTCTTAAGTCCATTCTCATTTCTTTGTTCTCTTGGGTCTTTAGGATACCGGATGTCAGCCCCTCAAAACTGTCCAGAGGAAATTTCTAAAATTATGATGAAGTGTTGGGATTATAATCCTGAAAACCGTCCTACATTCAGTGAACTTCAGAAAGAGCTTACCATCATCAAAAGGAAAATCACATAGTCACAGTGCCAAGCTCAGCCTTCAAGACTGTCCTCCAGCAGATTAATACTGTTGTTCTCGTTAATGATGAGTTTGTACCATATTGCTGGCAACCATCCTGTAAGGTTATTTTTTTTTTTAACTTTAAACTATGTGAAATGCAGACTTATCCAAGAAATAGTCCTACCAAGGCCTTTTTTGGCTAACCAAGCGATCCTGCCATTTCAGACCACTGTAAATAGAAAAGCACAGGTTCTAAACATGTGAAAAGTAAAAAAAAAGTCTTTCACACCTAGGACCACTGATGTTTCTCAAAGATTTTCTACATCAGGCACAGTTTGTGGGCTACTCCTATGCCACAGACCCTACTCAGTTGGTGCTAAAAGTTTTCACATTCCAAACACAGCTGGCTTTCTACTCTGTCAAGGTGAGAGTCTGTCTGTAAATAGACACTTGTAGGGGGAATTATTTGGAATGCCCATGAGTGTGGGGTTTTTTTGTTTGAGTTTTGACAGAAATAAGCCCAGTAAGAATCATCATGCTCCTCCACTGTCAATTTCTTCAGTCTGAATATGAACTGTCCTTAGAGCACCCAATTAAAGGATGTTAGATTGCTGGGACAGCAAGAAGTGTAACCAGGAAGGTAGTCTGGGGGGAAAGAGCAGCTAGAGTGGTGCTCAAATTAAAGGAAAATGTAAAGGCATGTTTTATAAATCCATGCATGTCCTTTTTAATGTTGTCTGAATTCACCAAAAAGGCCCCAGGAGTCCACAGAGTCCTCTTAATGGCAAGAAAAATTTTCAAAGCTCTACCGGGTACAAGTCCATAAAAGTGACAGTTAAGTATCTTCCTCATAGAAGGGTCATTCCCCCAGTAGTACCCGTTTCCAGAGCTGTCAGAAGTCATGGTTCTAGATCAGTAGTGTGTAGACATTCACAAATATTTGTGAAGTACAAGACGGGTGTGAATTAAATAGATGGTTCAGAAATCAAATGAGTACTAATAAGAAAGCCCTGATCTTTCCACTTTTCTTCATTTACCCTTATGCTTCCTAGATATCTTCAGTAGCTGACAGGTGTGCAAGCACAGTGCTCAAAATGTACCACCATTAAAACTAAGATTCTATTGAGGTGAATCTCGATGCATCCAGGCAACTTACCCCCCCCCCCGCATCTATATGTAGGAGATGGTCATGTTTAGGGGTAATGATGACCTGGAAGTCTTTTATAAGTGCTTGAGGCTGTGTCCAGATATCTATATCACCTTAGGATTATTGGGAAGAGCTTAAGAGATAGAGCATTCCTTTCTCTCACTATTTGCTGCCTGTGAATACCATTGTGCAGAACTCAAGAGAAGAATGACTTGTGTCCATTGCAAATATCCTTGCAAATTTTGTACCCTTTCAATGATTAGTACATTCAGACCAAAATGAAGGAATAAATTTGCCTTTAACGTTACAAAACAACTTCTTTTTAATCAGCATGGTTCTCCCTAAGGTCAAATATTATAAGTACATGGAACTTTCTTTTGATAGTATATACCATGATAATCCTCAGACTCGTGCATTAAGTAGACAAGACATTTCTACCCCTTTCCATACTTCCAAGTGAATCTGTTTTTAATTTTTTTTTTTTAAATAGCCAGACCCTGTTCACTTAGGCCTCAACACTAAGCTCTCAGCAAGGAGAGAGAATAATGGCTCTGACTTTAATTTTGTGAACAAAACCCAAAGCTTAATCCTTGCATTCTGGTGTAAAGAATGAACATGGTATTGGTATTTCACTCACTCAGGCTGTTAGAATTTGCAATTCACATCATAACTGCTTAAATTAAAAAAGCTTTTCAAAACATCATGACATCTGCAGCATTTAAATTCTATTTTATTCCTTGTCCTGAAGCAGGCTGTGGTACAGTTCAAGATTAATAACTCATTGGGAGTCTTTCAGGATCATATCAGTTGTATAGAATATTAAATTTAATATAGGCTCATGAATTAAGAAAAGCTTATGCAAACATTTTTTACTGTTAATTTTGTTATGCTTGAAGCATAATTTATTCATCCCTTCTGTCACTGATAATTATTGGAATTATGTACTTTAGGAGGCTAATCCATACCCAGAAAGCACACGAATACTGTTCTGAATTTGCAAGTTGATTCAGGGGGAAAAGAGGGTTCAGAAATTCACCAAATCCTGTGAATTGTTTAGTAAGAAAATAGTTGTAACCAAAATTTCCAGTGGTCTGAATGTGACTCTGGTCATAAATCTTTGTTATATGCAACTCTTAGATGATCCATTGATATCAGTAGTCTATAGCTCCCTTCTTAAGTCCTTAAATGCATTAATCCATGATGGGAGGTGTGGTAAGGACAGGCAGTCTGACTGTTACCTGCACTATCGACCTGGAATCACCAAGGAGTCTTGTTGGTTTTTTTTTTTTTTAAATCACCATTTATTATTAATCTGAATGCTAAAATTTTGTATTCCATGTAATCAGTTATATCTGAAAGCCAACATTTTTTTTCTGGGAAAATAAATAATATTGGGTTTTAAGTTCTCAGAAACAGATTTTATTTCAGCTTCTCCTGCCACAACATTCCTAGTGAAAAGACTCATTTATTTCTCTTCTCAAATTTGTATTGGCGAGGTTGTAGCTCAGTTGTAGAGTACTTGAAGCCTCACATGCGTGAGGCCCTAGGTTGGATCCTCACCACCATATGAAGATATTGTGTCCATCCACAACTAAAAACATTCTTTAAAAAAAATATGGGCAGTATAGTGTTCCCCATCCATACTTCACCTATTTCAATATTAAAAGATTTCTTAGCTGATCAGCATACACAGGAGCCTACTTGTGTCAGGTGTTATTCAGGATTACTTAGAAGACAAAATGTCATTGAAATAGTTCTGTTTTCCTGACCTTTACTTCAGTTTCACCATATAGTTTTAAAACATTTAATTGGTACCACTAAAATAACTTGAAAGCCATTTTTGTGAAGCCAGGGTATGTAAAGTGCTCTAATTGTAACATAATACACACTGAGTACCTTGTAAACAAAAATTAGAATGCATGACACCTAACTGAACCATAGTGACATACAACATGAGTTACACCACTTGAGATGCTTTAAGACTGCATCTGAACAGATTTCCTAGTATGTTTCATGTATACTATTTACCTGAAATCACCAAGGAGCCTTGGTGGGGGATTTTTTTTTTTAATCACCATTTATTACCAATCTGAAAGCTGAAATAATTTTATATTCCATGTAATCAAAGTGGCTGTGTTCCTACAGTAGGATTGATATCTGAGAAGAGTTGCCGCAAAGCTCTTTTTACATACACTCCCTTTGTCTCAGTGATTAGATGTTTCTCATCAACAGAACTGGTTGTCCTGTGTATTCTGAGTCATGGAAAGACCAGCATGTAAGAAGTCAGTCCTTTCACAAAACAGAATACAGAAAAATTAAAAGACCATGTTTTCTTTATTAATATCTCAAGGGGAATCAAATTTTGTATGAAAAGGAAAGAATATTTCCATTATAGTACTAAGTTAGCATGAAAGTTTACTATTAAAGTGTTACCTCTTGTTACTGACTTGCTTATACATACCAGAAGTGTTTCATTAAAGATTTTTCCTCTGGTTTTGGTTAGTATTTGGACAAGATGTGAAACTATCATCATTTGGGGAAATCCAGTACTATGTTAATTTCTGCAAAGATTTAAAAAGTCAGGATTTCACATACCAAAATTACCTACTTGAAGGAGTTAGTGATACAGGTTTAAAGTCCCATAAAATTCTTTAAAAAAAAATGCCCTAATATACAAACTACATATCTTTGTCATAGTTTGGTACCCCTCAAAAACCATCTTGCTTCCTTATACTGATTCAAAGATTAAACTCTGAATCAGTAAATATAGGCATTAAGAATCACTTAGCTACACTCAGATTCCTGGGTGGTAGAGAAAGCCTGCTGTACTAAACTCTCAGTCATTTTACTTCTGCATAGTTTAAAGAGCAGGGGCTGCAGTCTGTTGCTCAGGTGCTGAGTCAAGTGTATCCGAAGAGGTTGAGGTTACCTATGGAGAGTACAACAAATACATGGGCAAGGTCACTAGGGAGCCTGAGGAAAGCAAGGCCAAGAAGCCAGATCCTTTCCTACAGAAAATAAAATCTCTGCAGCCAAAAATAAAAATAAAAAAAAAAGCAAGAGAGGTCACCTGACGGTGTGGGCCTTTGCAGAAGCAAACCAAATAACCTCATATTCAGAGTAATTTCATGTCCCCTGGTCAGATTATCCCGTGCCGGGTGGCATTCTCGTTGTCCTCCCACCTAATGGATTTGGTAACATGTGTTCAAACATATCAAGGAGGGTTGGGGTTGTGGCTCAGTGGTAGAGTGCTTGCCTAGCACGTGTGAGGCCCCGAGTTCGATCTTCAGCATCAAATAATACCTTTTTATTTGTATGTCCAACTACAACTAAAAAATAAGTACTTAAAAATATATCAAGGAAATCATCCCATGTCATCTTTACATTTGTTAATTTTAGTCTTAAGCACACTGATTATTCACACTTAATAAAAACCTTTGTTTGCAATGGAGCTTAACCTGGGCTCAAGTCTCTTGTAAGTGGCAGCTCAGTCACATCTACCCTGCTTCACCTCTTGATCCAGGTAAATTAAGTGGCTCCTAGAGTGACCCACAAAGGACCTTGCTCTGCTGAGCTCTACTTTGGGTAAACCAAGAATTCAGCAGGGAAACGGGAAAAGTTAAGTAGCCATGTCCCTCATCTTTTACCCTTAACATTTACATGAAAACAATCTTGGAAGCATCCTAAAGCCAGTCAGAGCGCAGCATGGGTAAAGTAAGAGACAGAGAAAGATACATCTAGAAAGGAAAGTTGAAAGGAGATGAAGGGCAGCAACCAAGGACCAATACAGGATGACTCCAAGGCCAATCTTCCAACAAATCACTACAGTCACCAAGGGAAGCCAGTCCCCAGATGGGGGTTGAGGGACTTCCTGCTGCAGGTTATTAAATACTGTATGCCTCTCAGGTCTCTAACACTTTCTTAAAGAAAAACCCATACTCAGTTTGGTACCCTTTATGTGTACACTCTTTTGTGGCTCTGTGTCCTCTCAAGTAGGATTGATATCTGACAAGAGCTGTCTCAGACCTCTTTTTACAAATTCCCTTTGTCACACCAGTGATATTTTAGATGTTTCTCATCAATAGAACTGGTTGTCCACAGTAGTGTTCTGAGTCATGGAAAGATCAGTGTATAGGAAGTCAGAGTCCTTTCACAAAACAGAATACTGCAAAATAAAACAAAAGACCATGCAAATCTTGGGAAGTAGCTGCAGTTGAATCATAGCAACTCTTGGCTATTTCCTAAGGCTGTAGACATAGTGGTTCATCCCATTACCTAAGCAGTGGGCAGCTAAGAGTGTAGCGCTTAGCTCCTGCCTCAGTCTCTCAAGTCACTGAGATTACAAGTGTGTGCCACACAGCTAGGAAAGCCAGCAATTCGAGAAAATTGCTGTGAAAGTTCCCGTTTTTATTTATGAAAAAGTATCCTACAGGTGTGCTTTGTGACAAGGCAGATTCAGCATCCCTCCTTGCCAGAGACCCTCTTTGAACCCTAAATGAGAATATTTGGGATTCACTCAAAAGTGATTCAAAACTTTTTTTTTTTTTGAGGGAAGGGTGTACTGAGGATTTAACCCAGAGGCAATTTATCACTGAGCCACATCCCAGGGTCTCACTAAGTTGCTGAGGCTGACCTCAAACTTGCAATCCTCCTGCCTCAGTCTCTCAAGTCACTGAGATTACAAGTGTGTGCCACCATATTTTATTGAAATCTTGAATTTGTGAACATTATCATCGAGGCAATATGTAAGTGTTCTCAGAGTAATAAGTGTTAAATGATAGAAATGACCCTAGAGGCTGCATTTATTTCTCCTCAGCTTTCTTTGTTCAGGAACCTTTTCTTGAACATCTGCCTTGTCAGGTGCAATAAACACTAAGAGGAGCTCATTTTCCTGGTATTTGTTATTGACTTACGGATAGTATTTCCTTTTCTCATCTTCTATTTCTCAGCCTTTTGCTTTACCAAAATAGAAAAGCCTTTATCCTCAACTTGCTTTGAATGTCAGAATTTGTCTTGACCAAAAGAGTTTCTCAGGTATTCAGGACCCCTTGACTTATTGGGAACTCCCAGGTTTCTATGTGCCAAGCTTGGTCACCTGCTCAGTATGTGAGTGGCACCCTTGCATTCCCAGCTTAAAATACAAAGATGACCTGGTTGTAGCCCTTGCTGGGGAGACAGGATGGTTAGGGTAGCAGATGCGAGATGAAAAGCTTTTTCAGTAGAGGCTCTTGGAAAAGTTCCTTGGGACAATGATTATTTTGAGTGGGTGTGTCCAGAGACAGACTTTAACTTGGGCAAGTAAGCTGATCAGATGACTGTCCTCCACCCCCAAGGAAATATTGAAAAACGAACAATACTTACTTCATCTTAAACCCCTACGTGTATTTGATTCTTTTATTCTATTTTATGGCAGTTTTTTGTTTATATTCCTCATAAAACAAATGTCTAAAAGTACTTTAGTTGCATAGTGTTAAATAATTTTTCGTACCTTCAGAAAGAGGGAGATAATATGAATACTTAAATTCAAAACAAACCAGTCTATCCATAAATACAGACCCCAAAACACCACTGTATTAAAACATCAGGTCTGTTCTACAGTTCACCAAAGTAGTTCTTTTCCCAAAATGCCAAACCTCAAACCTTTTTCCTATATGCTGGAAACATCTTTCATATCAGAATAAGCACATTATAAATGCCACCCAAAGCAGATTCTAAAATGACATGTGAAGCTAGATTTACAACTGTATCCACCCAAGCAGATAACAAACACTACCCTTTTGTTTTCAGTTAAAATACTCATACAAAACTATGACCACTTAGTCAATTCACCCCATCACAGGACATCAGACCTTATTTTGAAAGCCTACGTCACATACCAGTGGAAATTTTCAGCAATGTTCTGAACAAGACAGGATAAATGTAAGATGGCCATAAGAAAGAAATCCCAATTCCCACTCTGAGCAGCGAAAAATCTGGGCATGAAAAAAGAAATTGCATGTGAGTCCAAACTATTAATGTCTTCCTCATGTAGTTCTTGTCAAGTAATAGAGCCTCATGTTCTTTGAGGTGCTTAAACAAACTTTATAAAGAAAAAAAAACCCTAGATTTTCCTCAGGAGCAGTCCTGATCTCTGACCTAGATTCAGAACCTTGGGGGGCTGGGCTGGGATTGTGACTCAGTGGTAGAACGCTTGTGTAGAACATGTGAGGCACTGGGTTCCATCCTCAGGACCACATAAAAAGTTATTGTGTCCATTTACAACTAAAAAATGTTGTAACCTTGGTTACTGAAAGGGAATCTTTTTACTGGGATTATGTGTAAGACCACCATTCCGACAGTCAACCGACTTATCAATCCATGCTTTTATTTTTAAACCTATAAAACAAGGTGGGAGCAGAATCAAACACCATTGTATGTAGGAATTTTTCTTACAAATAATTTAACTTGGTAGAAATAAGCTTACCTGACTACTCTTAAGAAACCCTAGGTTGGTATACACAAATGTGGAGGGCCTGTGCCAAGAGCCAGGCTTGATAGGGCTCTGGATTTCTCTCCTAACCCAAAGGACAGCAGATTTTATATTTGGGCTATAGGATGCAGTGCAGGCCCATTGCTGCTGGTTTTATTTCCCATGCTTTTACCACACATGTCCAATTCCTCCTCAGATTCTAGGCCTTTCCCACCTACAGTGTACAAAATACATACTCTTTCTACTGGAATTCACAGTTTGGGGCTTTATGGGTCAAGGATATTGGTTCTATGACTTTGTTATAGGTTGTGTGTCTGTTTCTTGGTTTGGCTTCCTCTGGCATGTGCCCTAAAAGACTTGAACTGTTTTATTTGTAACCATATGACTGCATAGGGTTAAGGAAAACCAGATAAATACAAGTGCATAAAATCAAGTGACCCCAGTCCCATGAATAGCCCCGACTTCTCCAGAAACACAAGCAAATTGGAAGCAAAAACAAAACATACAAATGGTGCCCATACCATTCAACTGTGGGAGGCCTCCCTCCAGCAGGCACTGCTATTCCTGACATAGACCCACAGCCAGTGGTTATAGCCATGTGGTTTTCTGAGTTGCTTTCTCTTTCCTTTACTGGAAGATGACGTAAGGGCGGTGAAGGGGGAGTTGGGTCTGCCCTCTGCCACCTGTGGTGTAGATTTCCATCTGTAGGCAGCATTTTGAGCAAAGCACTCCTATGGTTTACAAGATTCCTTCAGTGCCAATATATGATTATCTTGATGTCAGGTTAAAGCGCCTTTTTTGTTTAAAATAATATATTTTTGAAGTGGACAAAAGAAACACTGGAAATAAGGTGCTTCTTCTGGAAAGTTCAAGTGTAAAACAAGATCTCTGGTGGATTCATCTGGCTTTGTAAACAAGTCTGAAATGAATGGGAGCTAAATATATAAAGCAGTTTATCATTTTTAACTCAGATCTGTATTTAACACTTATTTATTTGTTAGTTTTTACATTCAAAAGAAATACACTTTGAATTTTGGCTAACATGGTAGGATGTTTTTAAATTGTTTTCTACATTTTTAAAACACAATTTCATCATTTTTGTAAACTTTTTTGAGTAGCCTCCTTTTCTTTTCCAGTAGACCAATTACCACTCATGGATCTACAGAACTTTTTTTTTTTACTGTATTCTTACAATAAAATGTAAACTATTTGTAGCAAACTGTGCCTTGTCTTGTTTAATCTTTCTATCGTGTTTACATTTCTCTTCCATATAAATATGCTCTAAGTAGAAGAAACGGAAGGCAAGATTTCCATGGTAACTGGCCTCCTAGGGATGTAATAGTACATAAAAATTATTAGCTTTCAGTTTCTCTGTAATTAAGGGTGTGTGATAATGGGTGTGTGCTGCTTATAGTCCAATCACTGTTTTGTTTAGAAATCAAAACTGCAATGTAGTTCAAGTTCAGTTCTCTGTGTGGATTGGCTATTGGCCAGATTTTCTTATATTTTTGAGCTTGGGGTTTTATTTTGTTTTTCATAGGAGGATTTGTTTAGATATAACATAGGATTTAAGGGAGAAAGGTGGCTGAGAGGGATATTTGAAAACAAGCTGCAGCGGCTACTAAAAGGTGTAGGTATGCATCCTTACCTGTCTCTGGTACAGAGCTGAGTGGTCACAAAGCCAAGATGCTTGACTTCCATGTAGCCACCAATCAATACCCTTCCTAAAACCGCATGCTGTTATTTACACAGATTTGGGGCAATGTACCAAATTTGATCATTTATTTACTTTCCCTGAATTAAACCAAGCTCTTTCCTCAACCCTGATCTTGGATTAGAAAAGTCAACCCCACACTGCCTCTGAAAAAGCATAGGTGCTTAGTGTTTGTGGGACAACCTGCAAGCTTCTTAAGATAGGTAAAACGAACCCACACAATCATCTTTGAGCCTCCTGCTTCTGCAATAACCTGACCAGACCTTTGTCCCTGGTCTCTTCTTTCTCACCATAGCTCTTAAATTTGGCACTCTCCTCAGCAGATTTCTGGCACAGAATCTCAGACAACCTGTGCTTTTATTGACTTCAATTAATTAGGACCAGGTGTATCCATCACCAAGCAAGTTGGGCTATCTGAAATTCATTCCCTAGGATAAATGAACAGCATCCTTGAAATCCCCTGGAGCTCTTGTGGTGTTTAAAGTCCTGCACTTCACTGTGTACTCCCCCTCTAGCTGGTGATTTCTTTAGGCAAATGGTGGTGGTATTGCTTAAAGGATACACAGGTCAGAACTACATTTTATTAAAAATGTTTGGTGGCCCTTTAACTGGAAACTGAGTCAATAAAATGGTTTTTCAAATTCCCCAGATTTGATACACATGAACTGGCCAACAAACCTCGGTCAAACTCTTAAAATTACACATAAATAAGGCTGATGGCATCTGGTGTTGTCACAAGCACCAAGGGGGTTGCTGGAAAACTTGGTCACTTCTCCCTCACTGGACACTCAATATAAATTTAAATGAGCCATATCACTGCTAGTCCACAATTTCCTCCCCTGTGAGGTTGGATTAATAGTAAGCATTTTCCCCTTTCTGGAAAGAGAAGGTAGCTTCCCATCACCTGCTCTCCCTTCCTAAAGAATCCCGATTTTTTTCCAGGGGAACTCTCACTTTAGCAGAAGGATGGAGTAGTAATTTCAAGTCCCCATCTCCCACTACAGAAGCCAAGGAACCCACCCACAATCCTTTATTTGCCCAACTGGATCCTTTATCCCAGGACTGAATCTTGAAGAACCGCAGAAAATATTCATCAGAGCAGAAGCCATTGCTTCCAAGAAAGTAGTGGTATAAATTCTGGTTCCCAGCTCTCCAGAACACCCTGGGTTACGTTCAATTCCAAGCCTTGTTCTCTAGTCTCATTTTTACTTTGGAGCCGCCCCCACCCCACCACCTATGGTCTTCTTAAGTCGATTTCCTTACACTTCAGTCTTCCACAGTCTGTTTCTGTACTTACAGCTAACAGTTATCTCTAAGGCCCCTTTAAACTTTGAGATTATGATCTCCTAAGTCTCTGGCCATTTGGAATACCTGAACACAAGTGCTATGCAGAGTATGTTCTGTTTCTTTGTGTCTTGGTGTGTTTGTCAGCTTTTTGTTTCTGTGATAAAATACCTGAGATAATCCACTTAAAAGAATGAAAAGTTTGTTGTGGCTCACAATTTGAGGTTCCTTCAGTCCATGGTCACTTGGCCTTGTTGCTTGAGCCTGTGGTGGCACAGTGTATCATACCAGGAGGGCATGGCAGAGGAGACCTTTTTACCTCACAGTGACCAGAAGGCAAAGAAAGAGGACAAGTTGGGGTTCCTATATCCCATTTGAGGGCATGCCCCCAATAACCTAGCTTTTTCCAGTACACCTCACCTCCCAATAATGGCATGGGCCTAGGACCAAGACTTTAACATATAAGCCTTTGGAGAACATTTTAAATCCAAACTACACCAAGTGGTTGTCAGAATTCAAGAGTGATGAGAAAAAGGAAGGCTCCCTAAAGGTTCAGTCATCTAATGTGCAGCTGATTATCTACACTAAGCCTTTTAATGTTTCCCTAGCCTAGGGCTTAGGTATTTCAAAATTACAAATGTTTCTTTTGTAGTCTCCCTGTGGTGACCAGTGGCACCATAAGATAGTGGTGTGATAAGGTCAATGGACTCAACATTGTGAGAGGCTAATTGATCTATCACAGCAATACAAATGCCAAGAATTAATAGAAAAATAAATGTCACAGGAAGCCGAGGTATTGACAACTTTGGAAGCCACTCTTTCCCAGCCTCCCCCCCCCCCCCCAGCTTTCTACAGGCCTTAGACTTAATCCATATCCAGGAAGGCCTCTCCCTTTTCTGGAAAAAAAAAAAAAATGTTTCCTTCTTTACCCAAGTAAAAGCCAATAAATAATTCAATCCTGTTGAGTTTTCATCTCAAGCTAATTTCCAAGCAGCCCCTGGAGGCCCTTCCTTCTGCCTGCCCGTCTCTTCCTCGTCCTTCTGCCAAATGTCAGGGAATCATATGACACAGTAATGTGGCAAGTGGGACCCTGAGGAGCACACAGAGGATGCAGGGGCCTTATGAGAGGCTGCAAGTTGGGCAGGAGGGGATTTGCTCATTGGTGTCCCATGCAGGCTCAGTCTTAGGGACTCTGAATAGTACAGACCCTGTCATAGTCCGTCCCAAACCCAGAAACCAGGTTTTTTCCACCTCCAGGGCTGCACACATCATTAGTCTTCCAAGGAACACCAGTCAGAGATGGAGCATATCATCTGTTATGGCTAAACTATTGTTATGCATCTCAACCAAGTAGGGTGACTGCCATCTGCCCCAGCCAGGTTGGCCCCTAATTTTTTTTTAATCAAATTAAATGTGACCTCTCCCATTTATAACTCCAATGCATACAGAAACTTAAAAAATAAGAGGCCAGATTTAGAGCACCATTTCTCCTCTCCTGGCTTCACTGATCTCTTCCCTTAGGCACACACAGCCTTTCTCCTGGTCTAAAATAAGAGTCCTGTATCAGTATACCCCCCAGTTTCTTACCACAAAGCAGATGTTCCATGAATTACAACCATTTGTCTATTTTAAACATGTATCCCTCAGCTGCCACCTTGGCAATACCAGAGGTCACTTATAAGATTAAGCATAAGGGGAAAATTAGAAATAAAATCTAATTGTAAAGGGCAAGAGAGAGAAAGGAAATCAAACATCTGAAATTAATCACTGCAGTTAGGCAATAAATTTCACCGAATTTTCTGACAACCAAAAGGAGTGTTTATACTAGAAAATGCAAAAAATAAAGAAATAAATAAAAATTCATGAGATAAGCATGAGCTCATTCATGATCTTAATAAGTTGGGGTCAGAAGTGATTTTAGAACTGTTTATTATGATGAAACATAAAAATCAAGGCAAGGTTCTCAACACTTTGACAGTGTCTGCAGACATTTTTGGTTGTCACCAACTGGGGAGTAAAACGACTAGCATTTAGTGGGTACAGTCTAGATTTTCTGCTAAACATCCTACAACATCCAGGACAGAGCCTGGATAGTTAAAGAACTACCTGATCCAAAATGTCAACAGTACCATTGTTGAGAAGCCCCGAATAGTGGGCCCATCTGAATCTCCATCCAGGAGAAAATGGAGACTTTTTTCCGATAGACAAATTTTAAAGGAACAGTGAAGGACAAAAATTAAGAGTGTGTTTCTTTTCCATAAGTTGACATGTTTGACAGAGTTTACACAGAGAAACAATCTGGAGGATCAACAAAGCCAAGAGTTCTTTAAAAATCATCAGTTTAGTTCTTTAAAAATCATCCTCTAATGAGATTTACTAAGGGGAGAAAAAAAAAAAGAAAGAACTATATTAGGAATGAAAACGTAGATAAAATTAAAAGCTTAAAAAGAACTGAAGAATTCCTAGGGGAAAAAAATAATATATCCAAGAAAACTCAAGAAATACACATTTAGAATAGTTCTATAATGATTAAAGAAATGGAATCAGCATTTTAAAATCTTCTCACAGCATTGATCCCAGGGATTGGAGATCAAGTAATACAGAAAATATACAAATGTTTATAGCAGCCTTCTTTCATAATATCCCCAAACTGTAAACTATGTTCTTCAACACATAAAGCAAACTGTGGTCCATCCATACTATGAGCTAGTACCCAGCAATGAAAAGCTGTGAACTGCTGATACACAAGAAGCCTCAAGAAAAGTATGCTCAGCCATAAAAGCCAATGTCAAAAGGATACATATTGCATAAACTCATCACATATTAGTGATTACCAGGAACTAAGGATGGGAAAAGGAATGGTTGTGGCTGTGAAAGAGGGACCCAGTAGACTTGTGGTAATGGTATATTTCAGAATAACTACTATAGCAGTGGTTGCTCAGGGCTGCACAGGATCAAGTCACATAGAGCTATACAAACAAATACACACAGGAGCGCATGTATAACTAACAAAAGCTGAATAAACTCTGGATTGTACTAAAGTCTAATTCTTAAGCAAGGTCAGGGAAAACAAGCACAGACCTTCCCTGTATGTTCCTTTAAGACCTCTTGACCATCTGTAACTGTTTCAAAGTAAGAATGTTAAAATCCTTCCACAAAAACAATAGCAGACCTACAAATACAGGTGTAGAGGTGATGCAAAAAGCTTTAGAGAACAGACA